GAACAATTACTAAAACGTCAGCACCAGAGTAAATCGGCGTGCTCGTTCACCCCGGCACCTGAATTGCCGCACGTATTATATTATTTACTAAAAAACTTCAATGCATGCAAATGTCTAATATACTTGTTCCACTAATTTATATTGAAACCTCGATAAAAATGTCATTTGTACCTTGACAATGATGTTAGCAAAATTGAAACGTCGGACAACTATAATTTTACTATTACATAATTATCAGTTATTATCTTATATCAAGAAAAAAAAGCTGTTTGTGAAAGTATTTCTTGAGAACATTTGTTATTAGGTGTCAGTCCAAGCAGGCGCCTGCAGTGTTAGTCACGCGAGACGTGTTGTTGGCAAGTTCCACGCTTTACGGTGGCTCCAGGGTTGTATTCTGAGTGCGCACTTGTAACAGAACATTCCCTGCAGCTTTGCCCTGAACCGTTCATTCAACAGAGAATATACAAAAGGGTTGATAGCAGAATTAAACATGAACATGGTGTCGGCAATGGCGTACGAGGCAGGACCAAACATGTAGATATCATAGTAGCTTAAGATATAAATTAATAAACCAGTAATCCAACAGACTCCAAAGATGGCACTGACAGTGATCACACTCAAGGTGGCTCGCTTCCGCACTCTCAAAACTCCCTGAAAATACAACGAAGGAAAAGGCCTGTAAAACGAGCAATTAACATGACAAATTCGGACAGACCAACTTCAACAAACGAACACTGAGATCCCATCACTTAAGTATCAAAGATATTTAGATGCAAACTCTACGATCACTCTTATCATGCATAAGCCATATACAAGCTGCATCGGAAAGTATGCGTTTGTCCAAAATTACACCAGCTGATTACGAACATGCTGATTTTACTCTCTTATTGTCACACATACAACCCGATTAGATCAGCACAGAAATATGCTATTTCCTGCCGTATTCGTGGTAAGTCTTACCTTTTGCCGAAACGCGAGTTCGTGGCCATCATTACGCTTACACCACAGCGTGTAAACGACTCTGGAGTATAAGCCCGTCATCACTATCAAAGGAATAATGGCCAATAAAACAAGCCAAGTGGTCTCATTGGCCGCACCCATCCAGCTTTTAGGCCAGTTCCACTTGCAGTCGCTGGTAGATTTATCAAATGTTGTAACCAGAAAGAGTGGCATGTTCAAAGCAATAGCAAAGATCCAACAACCAGGAATAATCGCCTAGAGTTGAATTTACTTAGATCAGTGATTAATGTATAGAGTAGACAATGAAACATAATAGCTTCTCCAGTGTTGATGATCATCTCTGTTGCCGCAGGATCATCATCGTCAAATAGTCAGAGCTAGTTCCAGTTATGGACGAAGCTACAGCGGCAGTGGCAATAGCATCAGTTGCAAGGATAGCATTGCAGAGTGCTGGTGTGCCAGTGATAGTGCAGGAGAGATAATGACAGTGCTAGTGTGGTAGTGCTAGTACCAGTGTGGTAATGATAGTGGCAGTGTGGTAGTGACAGTGCTAGTTTGGTAGTGACAGTGCCAGTGTTTTCGTGCTAGTACTAGTGTGGTAGTCATAGTGATAGCGCTAGTGTGGTACTTTCATAGTGCTAGTGCTAGTGTGGTGGTGATAGTGCCGTAGTACAAGAAAATTTTAGTGAGATATGACCATAATCATCCTTTGTGATAATCTCTAAAATCGTTAAAAGCCAAAATGCATGGCATCGTTATAGGTACACAATCTAAAGTTTTCATTCATTTAATACATTGTTATTTACTTACCTTGACTTTTCGCTCGGTAAGTTTTCCTCTGGTACTAAGAGGACACATTACAGTGTAATAACGTTCAACAGCAATAGCTACCAGAGTGACAGATGAGGAAGCTGCTCCCACCCATGCCACATTTCCCCCTGTTAGAATCATGCATAACCCAGAGCCAATGGCCCCGTCTGGGTGAGTGAAAGTTTTCTTCAAAATGTGATTTGGAGCTACAAACGCCGCGAACGTGATATCTGATATGGCTAGGTTCACAAGTAGATAATTGATGGGACTCCTGTGAAATAGATATCGAACTTATTTCAATAGCAGTAAGTGAAGTAAGCAAGTCTACAACTAGGATGCATGCTCAAGTGTAGATCGCCGCTTTGAATTGTACACAGTCTTTCCCTTTGAAGTGGAATATGACGAAGTCACCCGCCAACGGCATGGCGGACCATTCTGAGATGACGCAAAGAAACACTGAGCTGTTACCTGTCTTCAGTAATGTTTTTTTGCTCGCCTATCAGTCCTTATTGCTTCTAACGGCTCGTTAGAAATCAGAAATACCACCATTACAAATAAAATCAGCATACCTCATATCTCGATTTCTGCTTATGACGAAGATAACGAGGCAATTACCAATGATGTCCGCAACAATGAGAGTGGTGAGTATTGTCGTTACGGCAACGTCAGCAGACATGACTGAAGGCTGTCAATATTAGTCACATGCCCTCAGAAATAAGCAAAGCAAATAAAATTGTATTTTTCAAACTTTATTTAAACAGAAAATCGTATAATATTGCATGGTCATTCGAAAAGTTGTGTTAATTCACACCTCACCATGTCGCGTACAAATGTTTGACCTAAACTCATGGGGTATGAGGTGTATCATCCTTGGTTACGATCCTGTCCAGGTCAAAGAATTGTACTTATTTTATCCCGTTCAACATTTAAAGAGACTTCTCTCCAGATGTTGATGCTTCAGAATTCTTTAAGGAATTCCCTATTAATTGCTAAAAGTTTACGATAACCGTAAATATTACACACTGTTGCAGATCTAAAGCTTCTAGAATGCCCATGTTTGGAGACTGATTCTCAAGGACAGCAGATCAATAAACGAATCATTACCTAAACTGAATCATCGGTTGACAATCAGTAGGACAACTGCAAACTTCGATGAATTGTGTAAATGATCGATTGTCAACTGCCGAAAACCATGTACAATAATTTGAATATCACTTTTGGTTTTGGGTGAAGTTTAGAGTCTTCAGAGGCCACTTCATAAGTACATCTATTTAGCATTTTAAAACCCCGACCCAATTAGACTTAAGCTTATTGAATTTCCTTACGCAAACAAGTCACATCAGTTAGTATTTCCCAGGATTAATTTGCTTCTAATGTTTCCGAATATAATTTTTTGAGGTCTTAATTGTGTATTGCCTTATTGAACTCGATCCAGTACAATATCAGTTAAGCGTAGACCCTTATTATTAATGAATTTTAAAAATTAGCTGGACTGAGAGTTTCTCATCTTGATTGCCTTTTATAACTTAATTGCAAATTCTTTACTTCCATTTCCTTGAAAAGATATCTAGCGAATGAAACTGCTGGGGCTGCAGTTTAACTGCGTCTTCTTACAAATTATTATTATTATTATTATTATTATTATTATTATTATT